GTTAATGGTGGCGAAGTTTTACTGGCTAATACTGTACAGCAAATGGCGCGGCAGTTCACGCGGCGTATAGGCTGTGCCGCATCTCGCCAGGCAAATACCTATAGTACACGACACAACGAATCCGCAGCAACAATAGAGCTATTTTTAGATTACGTGCCGTCTCTGTGTTTTCGTGAAGTCAAGTGACGGTCGTAGTGCAGCCGTCGACCACGGGCATTCCAAGGGGGCTATTGCGACACTTCATGTCGTTGATGTGTTATTTCTCAAAAAATCCGCTCGCCGCTGCGCTAGTTGAAGAAACCCAAAGTTCTAGTTCTCCAGTATAGGCTACATGCGGAGAGATCACACCAATTTGATCTACATATGTACATATGTATCCATTGTTCACGTGACCACCGCGGAGTGACCTGCGCATGTGCTCAAGTGCGCGTGAGGCACTTGCTGACAATCTCACACTACCATGAGAGTCAATCCAGCGGACCGCATTTGCCTCCAATCTTTGGATGTACTGTGTTCTGTGAACATAAGCGTACGTAGCGTGACACTAAATCTCAAGCCAAAATCGTACTGGACAATGCCCATGTTATGTTGCTAAAGGTTATTATTCAGCACAGACAAAAGCAATTTTACCGAAAAAGACAAACTAGGACGTGAAAATTGAACGTAAAATTTTCACTACTGTGCAGTTTGGCATTAATTTAGGGAACCGCGAACACTTCGCGAAAGATCTCCTCGATGGAACAGCGAAATCTGGTGGAGTAGCTTGCCGTGAGATTGTTTTTGAGGCAGGTGTACTTCACAGGACCGTCTTATTAGAGCTATAACTTCGTAGTATTCATACTATGCTGAGAACTATAAACGAATGTTTTGCAAATCCAAGCCCTACGCAAGAATCGAAAAGGGAAATACCAAAGAGCCAGGCGCTATACGAAATCTTGGAAACGAAAAACCAGAAACCACAAACGATTGTCCGATGTCATGCCAGGTTGCCACCTCGTTGAGCCTAAGCCTCTCCAATTTTCAGAGCAACGCAGTTGAAGACCGCGCTAGTAAGATCCACGCTGATTTGCTGGTCGGGGATGGTGTCTAAGTCCAGTGCCTTGACAGGATTTTCAAACTCAAACGAGAGATCTTCGGAACCAGGCACAAAGAACATTCTGCAGCGGTACTCGGCAGGCGGATCCTTGAGGACAAGCCTAGTAGCTTCGACCTTGCCATCCTCGAAAACATCGGAGTTTTGGAACGTAGAGGCAAAGGAGATATTTTTTCCGTCCGGGGAAACGGAACTAGATGCGGTCTTGCCTCTATTGTCGTTCAGGAGAGTGAACTTGATTTTGGAGATTTGGGTCTCGCGACGGGCGAGCCAGTCGTCCTCGTAGCAGTACTCCTCGTATTGGGTCGGACAATATTCGTAGCAGTATTCGTAGTTATCGTCACAGTCGTCAGTGCAGTATCTGTAGCACTCGTAGTCGTCATCGTGATCCCTGAGGCGTAGGGTGGGTGATGCCAAAGTGGCCGCGGCGAAGAAGGTGAGGATGAAAGTGGTGCTCTTCATATTGAATGTCGAGGTCTTGATGTTGCTTGGATTTGAGGCTTGAAACACGAAATACAAAGAGGTGTTGTAGAAAATCTTGAGGTAGACTTTGAAGTCGATAAGGAGATGTGGTAATTGTTCGTTTGCAGGATTGTAGGCTGGTATGCATTTTCAGAGTCGCGGAGAGCGTCCTTTTTATAAACTTTTTTCATTATCCATCCCAATGTCTTCCACCTCCCCAGCCTTAGCTGCTCGATACGGAACCTGCTCAAGCCGCTTTGCCATCTCAACGCCAGTGCCTATAATTTGAACCGCAAGAGAAACACAGCCCATCCGCGTACTCGGGCGCACATCAAGAATTTCGAAATCTACGGTTTTAGTTCCAGTCGCATGTCACCGTCCAACAGAGCAGAGGCCATCCTACCGATCAGTCATGGTTTGATGTGGCGTCGAACGACTCGGCCTCAAATTGTCCCCACAAATGCCAAATGCGTTTAGCGGGACTAAAAGTACGCATTTTTTATTCACCCTGTGCCGCACACCGGCAGAACGCTCCTATTCGTCACACAGGATTAAATTGTGCCTGGTCTATATTTAGGCTTGAGATTTAGTTTTGCGCCGTATAAGCTCATATTTCTATTTTACGGCACGTTCAAGACTTGGAGGCGAAGATGTGGGGAGGCGGTTTCATGCTCGCGATGGGTTGGGGTTGTTAGCGAGCGATTAAGCCGGCCAGCACGTCGTTCTTAGGTAATTGCAAGTAAACTGTATAGGTCACTGTAATTTTAACGTGTGCAGTCTATCTGGAAACACGAAGGTCATCTAGTTGGCACCTTACTCTAGCATATCTGATGAGAAACCCGAAAGCCTTCTTGAAACGCCAGGTATCGACTCGGCGGTGCTACTTCCGGTGAGATGCTCTACTTAACGATAAGAAAGACACACCGTGATATCTGGAAATAACCCTATGTACCGCTGCCACAGCCCTGGCACTGTGCGTTGTCCTATGAAAAATGCCGGCTGGCCCTTACAAGCAAGATGCGGCACAGCTTCTACGCCGCGAGGACTGCCACGCCCATTCGCTGAACCTTAAAGAATACGCCATGAGTGGCTACTTCAAGAAAGGAGGCATAAGAGACATGCCCGAGATAGAACGTCGATGTAGGGAGTGACCAAGCCGGATCAATTGGGCAGAGGTCGTGCTAACACTAGGCTACGGCTGGAGCTACATAGCCACCCAAACCGTCATCAGGGTATCTTATCCGCCATTATAGACCCTCACCTACAAAATTATGACCTAATATTCCCCATACTCTATAATATATAAACCTATGTCAACGCCCATTCAGTATTCATCCACTCTCTACTCACCTCTTCTTCGAAACCAAGACAAGCCACTCTCATAACATCTTTACCCAATTCCAATTCCCAATCTCAGACCCAACTTGCCGTTCTCAGCTCTCAGTCTCCTTACTAAATCCGCCAACAAACCCTAACTATCGAAATGAAGACCAATTCCTTCGTCCTCTCCCTTTTCGCCGCTGCCACTCTGGCGTCACCCACGCTTCGACGACAATCCCAACCCCCTTTTACTAAAGTCGTCATAGCCAATGACAATACGGGCCTTGAAGCTTCCTTCAGCACCCCCACCGGCTTTCTCCTCGAGCTCGGCGTAGAAATCCAACCGCTCCTCCGGTTGGAACAGGAAATCCGTAAATTTCCCGCTACCAGAATTCAGCTTCTCAGCCCACCTCCCGATGGTTCCTCGTCCGTTTCCTGCACTCTTCTGAATTCTGAGAGTTTTGAAGTGGCGACGGTGAATACCACAACTACTTTACATCGTTTCGGTCCGCCGATTCAGGTGCCGCTTATAGAAGTCGATCTCGAAGGAGCAGAACTTCGGTGCGAGGTTGAATTGGAAAAAGAGGCTATATAGGATAGGAAGGGGGGTGGTCAGGGGCCGGGCACTCGTTAAGTTGTATGATTTGTTTTTGAGCCTTGCATAGCGGTTGGATTGGCAAAACATCCCTTTTTTGGTTTTGAGCATAGTATGAATATTATAGATTTTGGCTTAATGATGAGTAGTATTCTTGCGCACTATCTTTGAAGAATATGGATAAGGTCACTGTATACACTTTACTCGCAGCTCTAGGGCGAGATCGTCCACTCACGCAAAAATACTGGAGCAGAGAGCCGAACTGTTTTTAAATAACAGAATCGTATCCTACAGCGCCGAGGAAAGTTGTTTACCTTTTGCAAACTGACTTTGTTCTTTACCAGAATTATTCCCGACCCCAAGCAGCAGCAAGTATATATATATTTAATCATCTTCTAGAAAGCTTACTAAAAGAGAGCGGCCTCCTACACAAGTACCACTTCTAATTTGCAGCAGTGTCACTGAGAATTATAGCCAAGGAATGCGGAGGCAGATAATGTTAGCGAAGGCGAGATGCAAGCCAGCCCGGCATATAATTTATGTTGCACTAGATGATGTGACCTGTGTGCGTGCGGCTTATGCGGGAGAAGCATTTTGGGTCGTTTGGTGAGTTTGCGCGGTACTTTCGAGCGGCAAAATGAGTAAGATGTCCTTCCGCTTGCGGTACAGCGGACGATTTCGCTCGGAAGGGGCGAAGGGCGTACTATCTCACCGTAAGAACACGTACTACTGAAACAGAGACTATCTGGGCTTCAAAGCTATCATGTGGTCACCACTTTCGTACTGTGGGTTGTGATAAGTTTGCGCTCCCCCAGTTAGTTGTTGCGACTGCTGCGCATTAAGTCTTAAATGCGGCGGAGCTTCTACGCCGCATGCCGTGCCATCTTCGCTTAATGGGTAAAACCACAACCACGGCATTGCAAGGCGAGAGCACGGCCAGTGCTATTTTTGTCGAAATACAGCATGTAATTTTTTTCATGTTTTGCAGAAACGCCGCCCCCTCAGCCTCACAGTTGCGGCTCTTCGCTTGTCCCGCCTACGAAGCTGATTGCTCTGCGACTTTGCCACGGCCATCCACCCGGTATGTGAAAGCCCAACCGATGATTTTGATGTTCTGAAGTGGCCGGCTTGAGTCCTAAAGCATTTTCTAGTCAGTTCGAGGGAAAAATTGAACATGTTGGCGAGGGATGCTGGGGCTGAGCGTTTGGATACTGGCAGCAGTGTCTATGCGACGGCCATTTGATTGGAACGCGAACAAGCCAGCTCCATCACAGAGAGGCTGCAATGGCACTACAAAAGACTTAAGACATGTTTGAGCTTTTTCCGGGGAGAAGGCGACTTTGTGGACCGCATGTGCGGTAAGCTGAGACGGAGCGTCTTGTGACAGGCACTTGGCCAGAGCCAGCCACCCATGAGCGCTCTGTGGAAGTGACCACCACAGGTGGTTTTGGATCGATTGGGTATCTATTCAGAGGTATATAAAGCCTTCATCTGCGTTGTAAACCAATTATTAGATAACTCAATTCCCTCGATAAAGGCAGCTCAATCCCATAAAAGTTCCTATCCCCATCCTGATCTACAATCATATAATACCCGACTATCAAACAAACGTGCAAAAAAACCCTCGGCAATCGATATGAAGACCACTCCCCTCTTCCTCGTCCTCCTCGCCGCTGCCACGATGGCCTCGCCCACCCACCGCCGTAGCGATGCCAACGAGCAGCAATGCGAAATCAACGGGCAGCAATGCAAAGTCTCCTGCTCCACGAAATGCTCCGACCTTTGCTACGAATACTGTCCTTACTACTGCCCAGACAAACCCCTTCCCATTGAATTCTTTCTCTTCAACGTGGAAGGCGTGCGCGTCCCGCAATCCATCATCACCTCTGGTACGAATGTTTCTCTCGACATATTGGCCGAAGACACCGGATTGTTCAATGGGGGAGAGCTCTTAGCGACCCGATTTCAGATCACCAGTTCCCTAAATTACTGGTCCTGCCAAATGTACGATGTTCCTGGGTTCGACAATCCCTCGTACAGGGTAGAGTACCCTAACAGGACTTTGGATCTGGATTTCAACTCTGGTACAGATGAAACGACACCAAAGGTCAATGTCAATCTCAAGGGTGCATCTTTGAACTGTGTCTCATGAGAGGAGTGAGACCAACGAGGTGGAACCCGACGTAGTATGAACACTCCTTTCCTCTTTCCGCATAGTGGTTTCAGGGTTTCAGGGTTCCAGGGTTTTGCGCAGGGACTAGATTTTAGTACTCTTCTTTCAAATTTTCGCATAATGAGTAGATTTGAGACACATTCCTTTATTGTTAGCACAAATACTACGGATCTTTTGTTCGGAAACTACTGTTGCGCGAACCACTTTCGAGGAATAAGTATCACGTTAATCATGATCGCACTTTCAGCATACCCAGGGAGAGCGACCATTTCGACTGCTACTCGGGGCGGGAGTGAGAGAATAATGGGAAGTTCTCCGTGATGCGATTTTTAGAAGAGATTTCGCAACCTCGCTCCCCCGGCGAGCTACTTGATCAAGCTCAGCTTCTCACAGGGCGGGTCGTGCGGGTTCCGCGCTGAGACTAGTATAAGGCTGAGAACATAATCGAGCTATTTTGGGAAAAAGGCGACGGCGTAGACCGGGAAGGCGCTTACCCTTCGCGCTTCCGCGCCTCGAAGTTCTAAGTTGCGGCAAAGCCTTTAGCCCAGGTAATCGAAGCGATCTAACTACCAATAGCGTCAATTTGAAGTTACCGGTCTGCCTGGGTATGTGAGAATACGTGAATACCGTAATATATAAAGCTTTCATTGCACCTCGCAAATTGACCATCGAATCGAATCTCTACTTTCCTGGGCCGTCTTGTCAAATCCCCTTCCATATCTTGATCTCAGTCTCCCAACAGCCAACTATCCATTTACCAACTCGCAACGTTCTTACCAATCCTGCTACCCCGCTTTCAACAGTCAGAATGAAGATACCTTCTGCCATTCTCGCCCTCTTCGCCACTGCCTCGTTGGCAGTACCCAACCACCACCGCCGCCAGGGTGCGCCCACCCCGAACGTTAGTATCGAAATCAGGAATGATGTCATCGAGAAGGTGGAAACCCTTGCTGTCCCAGCCGATGGCGTTACCGTGATCGACTTTGGTAACACCTTCGCCCGATGCAAGCCCGCCAGCTCACTCAAGGCTATCGTGGCCACCAAAGTGGTACTCCCCCAACAAATCATTGATCCGGATTGCGATATATTTGACAGTTCCACCGGGCTCGGGTTATTTTCACTAAGTTCGGCAAGCTCGAGTTTCCCCTTAATCGACCTTGGTGCAGAACGGGTGACGGACATTAGCGACCTTTCTATCCGTTGTACGATAAATAGGATGGGAACGTGATGGCATGATATGTCTCTTTCGAGCTTTTTAGTTCTTCTCTAGATGTGGTTTTGCATACCTGTGGTAGCGACTGGGGTATTGGATTGTCTGTTAATATCTATGCGTAACAATTGAGTTGTAAAATAAACTTTTATGGCGTTTAGCATAAGTAGTATGTGGTTTTGACTCTAGAATGTCATGCCTAAGCCTCCTGCTTGTGAATACGATAAGCTACTTTACTGGGCTGTAAATTTTGCCTCGTAGCCTTTAAGAGGGTCCTAATCAAAGCAGTAAAATACGATGTTTACAATGTGCGCACTAATTTCCTTCTCCCGTAGGATTTGTCTCCTTACTTAATATACGTAGTTTCTAAAAGTATTTCCTAGAAAGCACTAATAAGAAGCGCCCTTATGAGTTTCACTAAAGGTGCGCAAAACCTTTGAGTATATAGCATCTTCTTTACGCAGCGTAAATTAATTACCAAATCGGCTTTCTACATCTCTCGATTTCCGACTCTCAACCCACTATCACACTCTCGCCAATCAGGATGAAGATCGCTTCCACTATCCTTGCCCTCTGTGCCGCTACCACTCTGGGAGTGCCACCTACGACCACCGCCAGGACCTTTTCCACCCCGCGACCGTCGGCGTCGACATCATCAACGGAGCCAATGGCAAAACTATGATTCAGTTCTGTGTCGCACTCGGCAACGGCCCGCTCACTAACGGGGCTGGCGCTGACATCGCCACCAGAGCCGAACCTGGCAAGAACTTCAACCCTTACGTTAGATGCGATATATGGGGCAACCTGCGCGGGAAGACTATTGTACTATTGCCAGACGCCAGGGTTGCGAACTTGGATAACGACCATGCTCGAATTGTGCCAACGAATGTTAGTGGGTTTTTCATTTATTGTCAGACCTATCCTTAAGTCAGTGGGTTCATAGGAATCTGATCACGGGATGGACTCTTGTTTGGCGTTCGGCCTTCTTTTGGGAGGTTGTTTGAATAGCGGCTAGATGCTCGGTTCTTCTTTTAGGATCTTCGTACGGCAACCGGGGTCGTGAAACATCTCTTCATGGCGCCTGGCATGAATACTACAGAGTTACGTACCTCGAACAACGGATACCAGCATTCACTGTCTGTATGAAAATCAATCCCATGACTTTCAATATATTGGAAATACATACTGGTATGTGGGCATAGTATCGAACTTTGGGCATCTCCGCCTCAGTGAAAAGCTGCACTTCTACATTGCAGCAGACACAACTTTACGATCAGATTCTCTGATAAATCCAAGAGAGACACCGGCATTTTCAATCTCAATTTTCATTGTGCACTCCTCTCAACGCATCGCAAACCCGCTTTCTGACGACCAGCTACTTCCCCGAACCTCCTCTTTCCCGCCACAAGGACTAATCCAAGAATGAAATGCCCAATGCTTCCGTTCATCCCCTAGCCAAAGTAACAGCATGACACATTCACTTATTCAAGCATAGTCTCCCAAGCGTCCCCACCTTCATACACATTCACATCCCGACCTCCAATCCCCGCGTCATCCATCTCCTCACCATCTTCAACAACCTGTTCACTCTTCTCCAGCTCTTGGTTCTCCAATTCCTTCTTCTTGGTTTCCTTTATCGTATTCTAAAAAAGGCTTTTCCGCTGTTTCATGATGTCAGCTACATTGATGGTTTCTGTATTTATATGGATCCTTGCGAGAAGGTTGGGGTGTGCGCGTTGGGGAGCTGGAATGAAGCGATGGGATGGATGTGAGTAGAATGATGGGAAGGGGTCCCGGAGGAGTAGGGATGGGAAGGGAAGCGATGGGTGAACAGGAAAAGTGGTACGGGGCAGGCGGAGCATTAAGCGGGCTATGAGAATGTGAGACTGAGTTACTAAAAAAGGTATTGGATTCGGGACGCTCTCTTTGCAGAGCCTATGGAATAGTTCTTGATCGTAATCACTTGCCATGTCGTTGATACTAGTGAATGAGGAATAGAAGAAGGATTTTGAAATGGTATATCAACAGGGTTATTGTAGGATTAGAATGTGTCGAGCTCTGGAAAGGTGCTGGTAGTTGTTCTTCATTTGGTGACGCGTACTTAGGGCTATTGGCTGGACTGAGGGAAGGCAGAGCATCCCGCCGTTCTCAAGCAATTGAACAGATAGTTTCAAACCATTGAGTATGGGATGCAGTGATTTCTTGAGTGCTAGGCTAATCCGGACCGTCGTACGGGTGGTCTGGGCGCGAGGTGTGGGTGCTGTCTTCGATAATGTTTCAATCGTGCATCCTGTCGTTTGAACTCCGCGGCGCAGCCTGGTTCCTCACATAAGTAGATCTGTTCTCCTCTCCCATGCTTTTGTCTCCTATGTCTTGCCAAATTCCCTCTCCTGTACTCTCCCGAGTAGCCCTTCCCACACACGTCGCAATGCACTGGGTCCAGTACAACGGAGCTAGCAGCGGAGACAACCGAAGAGGCCTGTGACACCTGGTGAGAGTGTGATCCGTAGTGGTCGCTTAGACTGAAGATTCCGTCATCCCCAGATGGTTGGTCTGCAGATTCATGTCTTGGTGCATCCCAGTGATCAAGACCCCAGGAGGAGGCTGGACTGTGTGGGGATGAGACTGGGGGCTGACCGAGTAAGAATAAATTGTCAGTCGACCACCAAGAACTGTCTACGGCATCTACCCCCGTACGACTTAGCGAATGTAGCAAAAGGTGGCCGGTACTAGGCACCAGAAGATCGTGGGAGTTAGTGAGATATGAGCTCTGTGGCCCTACATTCGACCACGAGGACAGATGCGGATGGTCGGTATTACGTGGCGGAAGATCCAGGGTAATTCTCTGGTATGGGGTCCACGGATCGTCACCTGATAACCACGAGGACAAAGGTGGATTGTCAATGGTAGGCCGCGTAAGCTCCGGGGGAATTCTGTTATATTGGTTCCATAGTTCTTCCTCTGACCACAAGTTAAGGTTTGGGTAAGGCGGTACTACTGGTTCATTGAGCAGAGGAAGAGAGTTTCTCACTGTCGGTGCTGTTGAGTCCTTATCATCTCGCCTCTACTGACGATTCTGTTAGTGAGATTAACAAGCGTGACGACACAACTCACGCAGTCGGACGGCACGGGCTGGTTTCTCGCATCATCTGAGTCTGAATCAAGTAGCAGCTCCCATGGTGAAAATTCGTATGTGCGGACGCGAGCTCGGCTACTAGGTAAAGGTTGCGGGTGGTCCGTAGCTGGTTCGGTCGAGTGTATGGGATCCATCTGCGATCGGGCTGGCGATTGTGCTTGCGTTGGTATAGACGACGCCACTTGTGCCGGAATTGGAGATTGTGTTTGTGCAGGTAGTTGCATTGGGGTTTGCATTGGAACCTGTGGTGTGGCTTGTATACATGTCAATGTGCGATTCAGTGCTGCGAATATTGCCATTACTCACTCAGGTCTCCAACTTCATACATGTTACCAAGCTCCCTACAAGAAATACTGTACAGCTCCCTCCATTGAGCATCTGGGTTATCATCGACGGGATGATCTGTGCAGTGCTCGCCGTCACAACCGTGTTGATTCTCGAATACGCCCTGGTCTAGGAAGATCTTCTTACACGTTCGACATTGTCTCAAGAACGGTACGTGAGGGCGCCGCCCTCGAGACATATGTCGCCGAACGTCTGTCATGTGTGGCAATTTCGGGTTCCGACATGTGCGCGGCCGATGCATGGCCATTGCTGCTTTAAACCATGGACAATCGATGTTCGGTTTGGCTGGCGCTGTGGTCCGATCAGGCATGTTCTGATCTGTTTGTACGATGGAGAAGGTTGGATTCTGATGATTCGTTAGCGGATTGTCATTGGTTTTGCGTCGCGTAAGTGGCGATGAAGGACGCTTACATAACCCACGAGCTGGGAGGAGGGGAGCCCATTGGTACCTGACGGATACTGATCGAATAACCAGTCAAGAGTACCTGTGTTG